TTACATCAAGGCTGTTAAATATAAATATAAAGTTTTTTTTGATCGATTTGTAGTCATTATAATCTTGCCATATACTCGTATATAAATATCTATATTTTTATTGGATTGATATTGATATTATTGAGTTCCTAGAAGAAGATTTTTAACACCACTAAAAATATTACATACATTAATAGTAGAAAATAATTCCATAGTGGCAATGAGAATAAAAGACGACGAAGGGCAAGGAAAACATTTATTTTGGTGACACACGCACCATGGACCTGCCTTCGGGCAGACTACCATTTATTATTATTATTATAGTTTAAACTATTTATAATTCATAATGAATTTCCATTTATTATTATATCGATCCATATAGAGATTCCGTAACTGCATAACACCAATATCCGTTATTCCGTTGTCAAACAAGCAATTATCTGATGATAATATCCAGGCCATCGCATGTTATCGGAAGTACCATTTCCAGCAATCCGGTCTGGTGAATATGAATGTACCTTCCTTCGACCACAATTCATGATCGACTCATATCCATATAAGTACCTTATACTGTTGTTATGAATAATAACGCAATACTCAGAAATAATGTGCAATACGGTATTATGACGATCTATCTATCGTCTTATTTAGATGGAATCGAGTGGGTGTTTCTGCAAAGCTCTGGCTTAGGATGATGTCACACGGGGAAAAAGACTTTCTTTATCTACAGAAATGTACCAAGTGATAGCTAATGATGCCATTTAATAATTCCCTTACTGATGATATTTATATATTGTCTATCGTTTATGTCATTTAGGTCTTCATTAGTCTCCTCACAAAATTTTGATTATTAAATGACTTAGAGACTCTGGTGATGAAATAAGTTGTATTTTATCATTATTCGTAAAATTTCCTTGGTTATTTGAATGGGGCTCATTATCAATTCCATGTAAGTGGTTATCAGACGAGCTTTTTATAATATAAGTTTTATATCATTCATTCTTACTTAATCCGGCGGAAACTGATGTGGTATTTCATGAATTGATTTGAAGTAGGACTTTTGGTGAAAACTGGTAATTTTAGTCAAATTCTAAGAAAAAGTAATTGTATTTTTTTAGCATTTTTATCTAAAAATACAAAGTTTTGATAAAAAGCATTCTTAAAGTTATTACTTACAAATTTGCTTATAATTATTTAACCAGTTAAGTGTGACGTTCACATCGATCATTGCGAAAAGTTTTCGTCGTCCGAAAAGTGCTCGGACTGGTACTGGTAAGACATCGAATGAAAAATAAGGTTTTATTTTTTAGTTGAAGGTTGAATTAAGACGAAGATTAGGTAGCATTGAAAATCTTAAGAATATTTTGTATTGAATTAACACAAAATAAAATAGATTTTCAAGCAGAATTGCAGGTAAATAATAAAAGCTGGCTGTATCACGGAATTGAAAGCAACTTTAATACAAAGTTTCAATCATTCTGTCTTGGTAGTGCAAATATTGGCATTATGTACTAAACAAATAAACCCTCTTGGTGAAAATTTCGATAAAAGTAGTATTTCATAATGGAGTAGATCATCCTAGCCATGATACCTTTATGGAAATGGTGAATTGGCAAGAATGGTTTGGCGATGGAACAATACAATTTAGTTTTGCTTTTACTTTTCCTAATTTTCTTTCGATTTGGAATTGAAAGAACATAAACTATACATATGTTTTCTATCAATCGATGTGTGGTCTTGAAGAGATGGTATTAGATTCAATCAGAGTTCAAAGCGTGACGAGTTAATTTAACAACCGCAAACACGTAAACGTGTTAGATTCTCATGAGGAAGAGATGCAATTTGAAAATTATGGCTAACAACAAACATGAAGTGCAATTTCAAGAGAAATGAATTAATTAGATATGATAAATATTATAATTTACACTCCAGCAAAAAGCAACGATTATTAATATCAAAATATATGGGCTGTGTCCCATGGCATAACGGTTAAGCGCACCGCCTTGTGTGAACAGGGTTGTGATTTGGAACGTCTGTTCTATATATCTTGATATCGAGTAGTAGTGATATCAATTGTCATTTGAAAATATGGATCGAAAATATGTTTTCAATTAAAAATGAGTTCATTTCGGGCACTGCGATGACAAATGGCAATGGGAAATCTATCACACTCATCTTTTCTGAATCGAGTTGGAGCTTAACTTTTAGCTCACGCTACCTTTTATTATTATTAACTTCCCTTAGGGTAAGATATACTAATCGCAAACAAAATGAAAATGAACTTTTTTATATATCTTTACGTTTCAGAAGTTTCTGAACATTTTGGCATATGTATGTGCGTGTATGTGTGTGTGTGCGGATACAAATTTTCTTCGACGATTTCGCGAACACGGATCAACCGATTTGGATAATTCAAAAAACATTCGATTTCTACTGATAAGGAGAAGTGCTGATTAGTTTTTAGCAAAAGCAGGTCTAGCCGTTTCGGAGATATAGGGCAAAAAATGGTATTTTAGTTCTTGAGATAACGGAGCGTCCGATTTAAATAATTGAAATAACACACTTTACGTGTATTGACAAAATGAACAACTGGCGAATTTTTTTGTGAAGGCAGGTCCAGCGTCTCCGGAGATTCAATAAAAAAAGTAAAAAATAATGCCATTTGGCGGTCAAAAATGATAATTAGACAGATGTGCATCGTATTATCACATATTTTATGAGGATTATAATAATAAGTACAAATTTTTATGTACAATTGTAAGGATTCCGTACCAATGTTTACACGTTAGATGACTATGCGGCGCTTATACGCTTTGATATTTCGGCTCCGAATCAGCTATGCTGCGCTTAGATTGCTTAAAAAAATTTACAAAATTTTCAAAAAAAAATCGAAGTACAAAAAAATCATTTTTTTTTTTCAAAAATTTCAAAATTCCTCAAAAATCTGATTTTTTCAAAGTTTTGCATTGTTTTTCTAAAAATTTAGTTTTCGGTACCTGAAGTTTTACCAATATGCCTTAAGGCACGATGTCATGTACCACTAGTTATGGGATAATATTAAATCTGAAATTCAACCATAATTATTACATTTATGGTTCCAACTACGTGGAATTTTCGTGGCAACAAAATTTATTCACGTAGAGAGCAAATAATAAACGTAATTATATACAGATTACCGACATAGCATGCATTATTAACATATCTATTTCGGTTCTACATAATTTCGAACTATTAGTACAGAATAACTTATTGAACATTTCATATGGACAAAAGTTTTATGAAACTTTCCTATCACCATTACAGTCCCATTTTTTTAACAATCAAATGACGTAAATACACAATAGTTTTTCTCAATGGTATCGTGTACTATAGATTTAAATTATCATACGAGAAGATAAGAGAATTTTACGTATTTGTTGTTTAATCAAATAATTTTGCAATTGTAATTCGTGCTCATGTGATCATATTATTTCACAATATTATAATTATTCTTGTGTGTTTCTCGAAGATCAAGTTATGCAACGGGTATTTTCCTCAATGAGTAGATGGAAGATAGATTTTTTAAGAAACGGTAAAATTATGAATGATCGGCTTAGGTACATAAGCTTTAGTATTAGAATAATGTACGGTAATATCTAACAAAGTCATCATTTAAATAAAATTACAATATGGGCGCATACAGCATAGTTTAAGGTAGAAGAGAATATTAACCGTTAACTGGGCAATTGGTAGAATAAATTTAAGAAAAAGTTATATATTTTCCAGTAGGATTAGTATTAAAATCATCTGGCTAAAGTGCAGTTTAAATTTAGAAGTTGATAATAAAAGTTATGTTTATATAATTTCGAATTTTATTAAAAAATGTTCACTTACTGAAAGCAGAATGGCATCGAACCTTAAGGCAAATTGTTGGAACCCTCCCGTACCAAAAACTTAATTTTTTTTTTTGCAAAATTTGAAAAAATAAAATTTTGAGAATTTTGCAATTTTTTAAAAAAATATATTTTTGTGAACAATTTGAATTTTGTTTTATATTTTGATATTTTAGGCTTTGTGGCATTTTTAGAGAAGAAATATGGAAGCGCGTAAGGGTCGGGATCTCAATAAAATATTTGATAATTTGATGAGCATTTGATGAGTGTAATGATAATTTTTGACCACAAAATGGCATTTCTTTTTACTTTTTTACTTGATCTCCGAAACCGCCTTCTTAAAAATGTAATCAGTTCTTTATTTTGTCAATACAAATAAAATGTTTTTCGAATCATACAAATCGGACGCTCCGTTTTATCAAAAAATCAATTACGATTTTTGTCATTTTTTGCCCCGTATCTTCGAAACGGTTAAACCTACCCTTGCCAAAAACTAATCAGCACGTCTCCTTATAAATACGAATCGAATGTTTTTTGAATTATTCAAATCGGTTGATCCGTGTTCCTGAAATCGTCGACGAAAGTTTGTATCCGCACACACACACACACACATACATCCATTTTTGATAAGGTATGCCAAAATGTTCAGAAACCTTTGAAACGTAAAAACATATAAAAAAATTTATTTTCAATTTTTTTGCGATTGAATGATTTAATTACTATGTTTGTTACAAAATAGAGAGTGTCATGGGATGGTGAAAATTTAGGATTGTATATGTTTTTTAATCGCGCATTATGAGAAAATGTTCAAAAATTGAAAACATAATTTTAGGTGTGGCCAATCCTTACAACTTGATTTGAATAAAAATATTCAAAACTTTTTCGATAAAATACCTAATAATTTCCCAAAATTTTCTTGAATTTCTGAATTGTTCTTGAATTCATAGAACATAAACAGACACACATATATAGATTAAACGAATAGAAATTGTTGTTGTTGTTTAAAGTATTCCCTCGTTTAGGTTATCGTTTGGTTTTTCCAAGTGACCCACCTTGTTTATGTATTTTCACATCATTTTAAATATCAGTAAAAATGGTAAACTTTTTTCTAAAGTAAAAATAATTTTTTAAAGCTTTCTCTAAACTCACCACTTCTTTTCCACTGCTGAAACTTGTGATAGAGTAAACAACTGCACATGCAACAGACACAAGAAAGCACCATTAGGGTCAAAACAACCCCGACCCAAACATCGGCTAATAGCTGTTCATACTGTTCAGCTTCCTGTGTGGAAGTTCCAGTAGAAGCAGTTCCATCCATGGTTCCTTGTGTTTCTGTCACTAAAACCGTGTAATTTTCCAAAGCTTCCAATTGTAATCCGGAAGGAATCTCGAAAGTAATTCTGGGCTCCATAGAACCAAACATTTCAGAAAGAAATTGATTGAGGATAATTTGATTAGGAGAACTCAACTTATTTGATCTTGCTGATCAGTTTTTTGGATGAAAATATTTCTACAGTTTTTGATCACTTGGTAATTTTTGGTTTGATTTGAGTTAATTCTGGTTAAACCCACTAATTGCACATTTTTTATCTAAGTTTTTCCAATAGGTGTAAATAAAATTAATCAGATGGCCCCAACACTTGGTCCCAAAGTTTGGTTTATATTGGTATACTTAAAACTATTTTATTGTTTTTCAATTACCACAGCAAATATCAATAAAATATTTGGACTATGATACTGATGTCACAAAAATTTATTGGAAATTAAAGCACAGCTTAAAACTTCTTGAAGCACACTGTTAAAAAGCTCTAATCTGCCACAACAATTAAGATGTTTTTGTGTAATGAAAATTGTAATAATTTATAAATTTATAATTAATATTTAACACTCCAAATATCAATCTTATTAATCACTTGTTCATTTTATTCAAACACAATAATTCACACAATTCAAAAATTTGAATATTTTATTTTTTTTACCACGAGTTCATAGTAATGATCTAAACAAACACTGCACACTAGTATTTTACAACAATAAATCTATTTAATAAAAATACCATTCTGATGAAAATAATTTTTCGTATCGTATTTTTTTAAGTAGAATATATCAGGTGTCGTAGAGGTGCTCGCGCACAAACGGTTGACGTTCGACTGAAGTTTGAAAAACATATGTATGGTTCTTTCTGTTCGTAGAGTAATCTGTTGCGCCAGTAGACGGAGAGTTGGTGTCTATTTAGTAAATATTATTTGCTGAGGAACATAGAAATTAGTTATAAAGATACAGAAAAACTGGTGGTGCATGGCATCGTGTTTTAAGACAAATTGGTAGAACTTACCGTACCAAAAATTAAATTTTTTAAAAAAGTTTCCTTTGGAAAAATTTGATCTATGAGAGTTTCGGAATTTTTGAAAAAGGTTGAGTTTTTGAAAAATTTGATATTTTTTTATATTCTGAAACTTTTTTTGAAATTTTGAACTTTTATTTAAAGCAATCGTTCTGTGTGGCTGTGTTAGAGAAGAAATATCGAAGCGCGTAAGCACCGCGTCGCAGTGTAACGGATAAACATTTGTACGGAACCCACATAAATGTAAAAAAATGTGCTCATTATTAAAATCTCTATAAAGCATCTAATAATTTGATTTACATGTATCGAATGATCATTTTTGTCTGCCAAATCATCAGTTTTTCATTTCAATACAAATAAAATGTTTTTTAAATCATATAAATCGAATGCTCCGTTCTCTCAAAAAATCAATTACCATTTTTGGCACTTTTTTGCAGCGTATCTTTGAGACGGCTGAACCTGCCTTCACCAAAAACTAATCAACACGTCTCCTTATCAATACGAATCGAATGTTTTTTTAATTATTCAAATCGGTTGACTCTTCTTCCTGAATTTGTCGACGAAAATTTAAATCCGCACACACACACATACATACATACACACATACATCCATTTTTTCTAACGTATGCCAAAATGTTCAGAAACCTTTGAAACGTAAATATAAATAAAAAAAATCATTTTCGATTTTTGGTGTTATGAATGTGTTCATAACACAATTTATTTAACATAAATTTTCATTTTCGATTTTTTTGCGATTACTATAACTTACCCTAAGAGAAGTTAATTAATGTGTTCATAACAATAAGAAAAATCGAGAAATTTTAACTTTTTTATGATATTTATGTTTTTGCCAGAAAATGACAAATTTTATTGTTTGATGTAGCAAATCATTTTGAAATAATTTTACACAAAAATTGGAAAAAGTACCTACGTATGTATGTGTGAGTGGATATGTGCATGTGTAAAAATGAAGTCAAAATTTATTTTTTGTAGGCATCTATTTGAAAACGTCTATGCCGATTTCAATAATATTTTATCCCATAGTTAACAAAAAATCTATTTCTAGTATAAATACTTAATTTCAGTAATTGAAAACTAATTTGATTATTTTTTATATTTTTTGTTTATATTTTTAATTTGATCATTACGCAAAAATAGTTAGTGAGTGCATCATTCAGTAATAATTTATTACTGAATGATGCAATCATTAACTATTTTTGCCTAATGATCAAACATTTAAAAAAGAAAAATATCAACCATCTAGAATATTTTTGAAAACTATTAGAATAAAAATAGGATGCATCATTATTGGGTAAAAAAATGGTTATTTTGGTAATTTGGGCTATTTCTTTGTAATTAGCTGTAAGTTTTTTCTAACGATTTAGAAATTTAAAAAACGTTCTACTCGTTTCAATTAACTTGCATCATTATTTGATCTTATGTAAAAATCACCTAGGAGTTACCTTGTAATTTCTTAAGCAAAGTTAATCGCATTTCGACTTTAAAAGTTTAAAATTTGTGTACAAATAATATAAGTTATCAGAAATAAGACTAATTATTTATATTATAAGTAAATTCTTTGTTAAACAAAACTTGATTTAAGGGTTACCGAAAATTTTATTAGAGTTAATATTAACTCTATTATTATGAAATACTGGGGGAAGATAATTATATGATTTTAGTATAAGAACCAAATTTGTTTATTAGAGAATTGTTTTGTAGAGACATCGATCACCACATTCAATTATGATTATTAAAACCATTAATATTATAAACAACAATATTATATTATGAAAGTATTTCATATCGAAGGAATGTCGCCCTTCTATTAGTAATTGCTTTTCTACATCCTCATTGTCTATAGTTTGAAATTAATCAATGAAGTTTAAAATATTAAAATATCATAGTGATAGTCGATTTTATAGATGCAAAAATAATTTTTATTCCATATTTCAAAATAAGTAAAATTTGCGATCAGCTTGCACACTATTATATTGGAAACATAGTGGGGATTGCAGCTTAGTACAGAAAATGATTCAAAGCACGTGGTTCTATAGTAAATACCTGTAAGTATGCACATGTTTAATCCTGGCTCCAATTAATTTATAATGATATGTCACGTACTATGCTCTTATGAATATTCGATCATTATAGATTATTTTATCCTTGATCTTATCATCGTGTAAGTGATGACGCTGATGATTATATTGATATCATCACATCATTGATAACATGCTGTTGAGTCGATTTTAATTAATAAAATTTAATTTATTTATAATTAAAATAATAATTGAAAACTGGTTCATAAACTATAAGATTTTTTATTTAATTATGTTCTCTACTCTGTATGCTAAATTTGTTTTTTTCTGCCATAGATCTTTATTCAACTTATTTTTAATATATTATTTTATGTACATATTAATAACCTTTTGTATTACCTAACACCTAATTAGATGTCATCATGATCAATTAATCTTGGTAATTTTACTTATTTATTTAAAACTGCACAAAATATTGAGAGGGCAAGGGCTTGGGGTAAACATGAACCTTTATAAAGTTCTCTTCTTCTGCCAGTATGTTGCAAATTATTTTAAAATTGAGTAATATCATATTTTGAAACTTTCGATCAATATATATTTCCTTTATTACAAACGATTTTCCAAGTTATTAATGATTTTCTAAATAAACATTTTATGACCATAATCTCTACAGATTTAAATCAAATGGCGGTTCGATATCTTAATAAAAATTCAGCACTTTGAGCGATTTAAAAAAACCCACAGGTGTGTAACAAGATTGAAAATATTCCACTGATTAATTAAAATGTTATCATTATCAAACACCTGTTTGATAGGTCTAAGAATTTTTTCAGATATTAAAACATTTCCAGATGAGCTGAAATAAATTATATTTTACAGTTTCTGGTACATAATTTTAATATCCTTTTAAATCTAATTTATGAAGAATTTAAATCGTGTTTAAGATTACGTAGTTATTTGCTCTTACTTATAAACTGGTTAATTATAATTGTAATAACTGGTTAATAGCTTTTGTAAAAGCTTCTAGACTAAACTGCATCTGCTTCGGATCTGTATGTAAAACACTTTTTTAAATGTTTTCATTTCATTAATAAAATATGAGTTGTACTAATATTATTATATCATTTACATAATTATAAATTCTAAATTTTCAATATTTATTTGCTAGAGTTTTTCACTAATGCGGAATCGGTCTGTAAGGTTTTTGTAATTGATAAATATAAAGTTTGAAAATTATGAAAAAAAAAACAATTTTCAAATATTTTCTGCTCTTTTTTTATTTAAGGGTACAAAATTATGAAAATATATGAAATACACTCATTCAAAAAAAACGAGTAATGAGTGTTGTGCAATCCAACTCTAATGTGTCTAGTTTCAACAACTAAAAAAAGTTAATTTGTTCCAATTTTAGAAAATCCTTAAATATAATATTAACAAAATTCTCTTCCTCATAATTTAATTTACTCTATTTGCTCAATTACAATTTAGTTGTTCAAAGTTATTAGAATAATCATATTTAGCTAAATAAACTTAATGAATTTACCACGTGCGTATCAGTCAATTTAATTTATGGAATTTTGAAAAGTTTTTTAAAAATATTTTTAAGTCAAGGGATCTGTAAGTTAATAAATTATAATATGATTCTCTAAATATAGAAGACATTTTCAAGTAAAATGACTTCTTCATATGGTAACTAAATAACCATGAAGGACCATATAGGGTAAACAGTGCTTTAATTCGCCTATCCTGTGACTCACCACGGGCCACTGAATTTCAGATTTATCGTGGTGTCATAGTTTGTAAAAAAAATTGACATTTTATTTGTTGAATGTTGAATCAGGACCGCATTTTTCGATTATAGAGTAATCACAATGAATTAGAATATAGAGTTATATATACAAAAAAATTAAGCACTCTTGTAAGTTTATTAACTACTATAATATCATATATTATAAGGAAAACAATGGTTCAGGGATATTACAAATTTCTTTCCTAAAAATCAGAAATCAGTTTAATTTTATCATATTTTCAAATAGGGCGGGGCATATAGGTCCAATTTGAGTCTGAGCTATTATATTCTGAAAAACCAAACCAATTATGTCACAACTAATAACATCATCATTGTAGAAAGGTATTTTTTCTGTTTTCCAAAAATTTGTAACCTAGTTCTTTTTACCCCATATGCAGGATAAAATGGGACAGCCAGGAGTAAACAGATACAGTAATCAAAGTGACTTTCAAATATTGTTGTTAAAATATTTTTAACATTATTACTTTTTTTTGAGATCTCGGTGGTGGACCTTTTTTCCCGCGGACCTTTAAGCGCCGTCCTAACCTATTATAAAGTAAAGAATAATTCAGAGATATTCCATATAAGTTTTTAATAATGTCCAGAAACAGATTTAATTTTATCGGGTCTCATTAATTTAATTA